CACAAGGGGAAGCAGAGGGGCAGGCACTGATCTCTTTTTTTTCTGTGGTGACCAGTGACAGGACTCAATGAAACAGCATGAAGATGAGTCAGGGGAGGTTTAGCTTGGATATCAGGAAAAGGTTTTTCACCCAGAGGGTGGTTGAGCACTGGAACAGACTCCCCAGGGAAATGGTCACAGTACCAAGCCTGACAGAGTTCAATTAGCATTTGGATGATGCTCTCAGGCACATGGTTTGACTCTCGGTGATGTTCCTGTGCAGGGCAGGGAGTTGAACTCTGTGATCCTGAGGGTTCCCTTCCAACTCAGCATATTTTATGGCTCTATGATTCTATTTAAGACTTCCTCTAAGTACAAAGGGAGAACTGTGATGTCTCCTTTTTAAGAATATCTAGAGCTAACCAGTTTGCTCCAGTTTTTCCTTTATGTTATACTGTTTCTTACTGCTCCTTTTAATAGCAGGTCCCCAAAAATCCTGGTTTATTTTGCGGGGTTTTTTAAATTTATTTTTTATTACACTCCTCCCTTCATCAAAAGGAACAAAATAGATTCAAAAGACAAACACTTTAACATTGGGGCATTTTGGCTCTTGCCTGCCTATGTTTGGTTAAAAGAATAATATAGCTTCTCCCCTGTTGCCCTCTGCTTTCTGTTTAGCAGTACACTCTGTCGTTTTAGTCCTTGCCACATGGTAGCCATAAAATTTCTTGAAAGCTGTTTTGAGAAAAGTGTGTATTTGGATATAGTCGCCTCTCAGTTTCTGTCTCCTCATGTTCTCCTTTGTCATCCACAGTTCCACAATCCTTGTTAAGACAGCTCTGCTGGTTGCCTTTATGATGATTTCTTGTCCTATTCTTGCACACTTTCAAAGACTCATGGACTATCTTACTCTTATTTTGGACTTTGAAGGGTTGATTCTGAACTTATTTACTAGGCATTATTTGCCTCTAGCAGTCTCTAGCTACAGGTTAGTCTGTATCAAGTGGCCTATAGCTAGGTAAATGTGTCACTGATGTGGTTTATCTGCATGCTTTGGTCCAGCTACTCACTTGGCCACAGAAGCAAGATGCTGCTTTGAGCATACACCTGAGAATCACAGCTACACTCCACTCAGAACAGCAGGCCTGGCACACCTCCAGCTCAGTGCAGTGTAAAGCTCAATGCCTGGCTTGTGGCCAGCCAGCAGTGTCTATCCAGCACGCTTTGCCTCCTTGCTGCCCTGCAACCTCCCATCTGCACTTCATCTTCAGCTCAAAGATTGTCACAGGTACCTACTTTGGACTCACATGATCTACTGGAGTATAGCCTCTACTTTTTCAACTGGACTTAGCAATTTACATTTCCTATGCTGAAATTCTCAGCTCTTGCTACATCTGCTCTTTAGTCTCCATCATAAGCAGGTGTTTCATTTGCCTAGTACTGACCATGAGAACAAAAAGGAATAATCAGCGTTTCATTTGGTAAAACCAACAAACTCTTCATCAACTTGCTTGAGAAAGAAGTGGCTAGCCTCAGCCTTTCTGCCATCCCAGCAGTTGTTACAGGTACATAGGAGAAAAAAAAAAAAAAAAAGAAAAAAATGACCTTGAAAGAGGAATTTGTGTAGTTTCAAGTTTTTGTAAACTTGGAGATCTCAGATTAATATCAGACGATCATGCGATCTGAAAAAATCCCTATCACAAACCTTGTCTCCATTATCCTTGGAACACACCAAGTATTCTCTGCAGCCTCATACATCCTACTCTGATCCTCTTTAGCTGTGCCAAATGTGCCAAGGTCAGCAGTACATTATGGATGTTTGCTAATTATCAAAAACCTCCACTGAACAAAAGTTCAAAAATCAGAATTGAAGATACAAGACTCTGAGAGCATTAATGTCCTTCACTACTACTTTCTTCCACCTGTCACTTCAAACCTGATATGCATTCAGCCCCAAGGGGTGAGGGGAAAAGATGACAGTTCTTTAGTTATACTGTGTTTTTACATGATTAGTTATAAATACCTGTAGCTGGAGTACCAGACAAGTCCCTTAAACTTTCTGATATTCTCTCCCAGGAACTCAGAAAGGATTGTGTTCTTCTCTTGCTAATTAGCTACAGCCATTTCCAGTCTTTGCAGAGGGAAAAAAAAAAAACAGAGAAAGAAAAAAGCTGAGAAAAGCTTCTGACCTCTGCATTTCTAAAGGAAGCACATTATTTTAAAGTCTTCCAATGACAAAGGCTAGTTTAGTTCATATGCAAAACAGGTATTTTATTCTGCTGAAGATTTGCCCAACTGAAGGTAATGGTCTTATATTCAGCTACTATCATGATCATATATTTTGCCTCTTTTTATATTAATCTTCCCCAGCATCTTTTCTGCAGGTTAAATGTAGTTCCATAGTTCTTTCTTGGGACTGTATTGTGGTATCACAGTACTGCGGCAGAGCTCTGAAGGACTCGGCAGAGAAGTGAAAGGATACTCCCTTCTCTAATGAAGTTGCCAACTACCGACTCTTTTTTAGAGTTAAGCTGAAAATTTCTTATCAGAATGGACTATCTGTGAAGTGAGACAGTAACACAGAATCACCAAGACCAAGAGTAAATGCCAAGAAAAGTCCTTTGTAGAAGCAGAATTAGATTCTTCAGCATGCAGAGCTTTTTTATCACTGGACCATTTCAGGACACTACTAAGGGTTAGTGCACACAGGCTCTCATGTCCTGCTGTCACAGGGGTAGGAATTGTTTTACACTGGGCTGTTGAGCAGCCACACTTCTGCCTTCTGGAACAATGAGTCACAAACATGAGCTACCTATACTCAGAGCACTTGTGCAGCATTTACTCCACACATGCAAATGTAACCCTAAGCAGTCAATTCTTCTGGTAGTGCTCCTGGCAGGTGGCAGAGACCAAGCAGCCTCTGCAGTGTAATGCTGCATTCCTTTCTCCTTTCATCAAATACCCGTATATGGTGAAGTAAAACTTTCACCTAGTGACACACCTAAAAAGAAATCTTTTCCACAATGGAAGCTGTTAGTTGATTCCTCTCAAAGATGAGGTACTCTCTAATCTTTGGGAAGGAGAGAACTCTGTTATATTCCTGCAGGGTACTCACAGAAACCCAACTATGAAGCCTAGCTAGAAGACAGTCACCCCACCATCCGAGGCAGAGTGCTAACTCCATCTTGCTCAAACATTTACTTTAGGGTCCTGTATTTTTTCAATTTTTGCCATGTGTCGTGCCACACCCTTCTCTGTTCTTAATCTTTAGCACCTACAGCCCCTGGGCCAGCAGTGCATCCTTACCAGCAGACCTGTATTGGGAACTAGAGTCCCTTCCTTTTGTTGTGACTGCATGTGAGAGACCAGCAGGACAGAGCAGATGGAAGAGGAGAGTTGAACTTGGAGAGGAACTTGGTGATCCATGCCTTTGCAACATGCTTTAAGCAGCCTGTAAGACTGCCAGGCCCCGGGGTGCATACTCAGCTGCATCAGGAAATGGATCATGGCATGCAGCATTTGCCCTTCCCCACTAACTTATCCTTTTTCCAGTTCCACCCTACCATGTCATGGCTCACACACAACTGTTCCATATGTTTGGCCATCCACTTTTCCTAATTCTAGTTCATCCTTTTCAAGATGCAGAGACCAGAACTGCACTCAAGGTGTAGGCAAACCATGAATTTATGCAATGGCATAATGATACTCTCTTTAGTCCTTCCCCAGTCACTCCTAACATCCAGTTTTCTTTTTTGACTGCTGCTGAGCACAGTGTCCATTTGGGTCTTGTAACCTCGGGGTCTCACTTCTGAGTAGTACTAATCAGCTCAAAACTCATCATCTTATACATGAAGCTAGGAACGTGTTTCACCTCTGTGCCATACTTGTTTTTTCAGCATTAAATTTCATCTGCCATGTAATTGCTCAATCACACAGTCTTGTAAAGTTCTTCTGCAATTTTCTACTCTGTTCGTGTCCTTGCTGCTTTGAATAACTTTATCCCATCAGCAAATCTTTCTACTTACTGCTTATTTATGGCACTTCTGGATCATTTATGAAAGTTACACAGTGCAGACTAATGGGGAACTCTGGTGCAGTTCTTCCTCAGTTGAAAGAATTGACCATAAAGGTCAGATTGTGTGGGACCTTGTGCAATCTGATCTAGTGGGTGGCATCCCTGACCATGGCAATGAGGTTGAAATGAGGTGATCTTTAAGTGCCCTTTCAACCCACACCATTCTATGATTCTATTATTTCTCCCTACCTCTAACTTTTATGCTTTAAAAATAATATATCTGTACCAGCACCTTCTATTTTAGTTTTTTATTATTATTGATAAATAATTTCCTTGCAGAGGTTTTTGGAAACGTAAGTAGCATATATCAACCAGATGACCATAATTTTCATGTTTGTCCAACACTTGACAGAATTCAAAGGCAGGACTCCCTTTTACAGGAGCAATGTTGACTAAGCAACTTGTATTTCTCCCAGCATCTACTAATCCTATATTCTACTATTTCACAGATATTTCACAGATATTGCCCTGTCCATGGCAGATAAGTTGGAACTTTAAGGTCCCTTCCCATCCAAACCATTCTATGATTCTATGATTTCTACTAATTCACCTGGAATAAACATCAGGATATAGACCTGCTGTTCCCCCGAATTCCATTGTAGTCCCTCTCACAGTCTGGCGCCAAGTTTTCTACTATGAAGTTTTCAGATGCTAAGAAAAATTCTGAGTAGGAGGTTACACACTACCACAAGTGATTTGGCTTCTTAATTTGTGAGTTTGGAGAGAAACCCAGGACCAGCCACTTGGGTATTTTCAGGGTTTACTCTGTTCATCTCCACCATAACCTCTCCTACAGCGGCTCCCATTTCAGACAGATCCTCAACGGAGTGATGATCCTGGAAACAAACAAACAAACAAACAAACGGTTCCTTGGAGGGGAATCCAAGCGGATCGTTCCCGAGCGGCGGAGCTGGACAGCGGCCTCCCGGCCCGCCCCGCCCCGCCCCGCCGCGCTCCGCCCGCCGCCCCTCTGCGGCCACGTTGGGGGTGTTCGGGCGTTGCAGCCGCGCTGGGGGTGTGCGAGGGCGTTTTCTGCAATTTATTTAATTTTTTTTTCCTTTCCCTTAATACTTTTATTTGTTTATTTATTTATTCGTTAAGCGGCAGTTCCCCGTTGCCCGGCGGCGGGGTGGCGGAGCGGAGGGGTCGGAGGGGAGCAGCGGCCGCCCCAGGTGGTCCCGTTTGCTCCTTGGCCGCAACATGGCGGGCAGGGAGCCCTTCGCGGCCGTGGTGTCCGCGCTCCGCGGCTGCTACGCCGAGGCCGCCCCGCTGGAGACCTTCATCCAGCGGCTGGGGGAGAGCGGCGCCGGGGACGCCGAGGTGCTGCGGGGCGACGACACCCCCCGCTACCGGACATTCGTGGGTCAGTGCCTGGTGTGCGTCCCCCGCGGCGCCCGCCCCATCCCCCGGCCCTTCACCTTTCAGCAGGTAGGAAGGAGCCCGGGGGGCGAGGGGCGGCCGCGGCACCGCAGCCCTCGCCGGGCGGCAAGAGCCCTGGCGGAGGCCCGGGCGGTGGCGGGGGCTTTCCCGGGGGGCCGCTTCCTGCCCTCCATGTGAGCGCGGGGACGGCGGCGGCCCGTGGCCCCTCGTGGCCGCTGCCCGCCGGGCCTCGGCTGCTCCCCCACAGCCTCCGCCGCTGTCGGCCCGAGGCAGAGGCGAGCGGTGGGGGATTACCGCCCTTCCCCTTCTGGGGGGTGGGTGAGCAAAGTCCATGCGCTAGCGGGTGGAGAACACGAAAGGTCTGCGTGCATGGGGCTCCCCTACCTCCCTGCTTCCGCTGCGGGGTCGGGGTGAACAAACCGAGTGTGGCCGGGGAGCGGCTGACAAGGGAAAGTGCCACTTCCCCTACCTACTCTTGAGAGGTTAGAGGAGAGCGGGGTAGAAAGGGTTGCGGGTCGGCCTATAAGCAGAGGAAACTTTTCAGAGAGGAAAGGCTGCTTTTCTCTTAGTGCTGCCGCGTGCGTGAGCAAAGCCGTGCTATGGTAGGAAGCGGCCTTCGCGAGCTTGTTGAGTGGGTTTTAGAATTGCGTACGGAGTCGTTTAGTTGAGCTTTTCTTTACATAAAAGGAAATGGAGGCCTCAAGAAAATGAGCGTTAGTTCCCTGGAGGTTAGAGCCTGCGCGAGCACGTATCCACGAACGCGTGTCTACAAACATGGATCTACAAGCACGTATTTACGGGCACAGTGACCTGAAGGCCTTGGAGTCTGGGTTGCTGAGGGAGCCAGGGGGAGTAGTGTAGGGTGTTTCCTGGGAATGAAAACCAGGATCAAAAGGGCAGACATTAAAAGACTTCCTTAAAGTCGTAGGTTTACGTTACTACATGTGAACACCTCGTGGTACACTTGAAGAGTCTTTCTTTTTGGGTATGGCACTCGGGAATCACTAATACTGCTTAGACAGCTGATGTCTAGGGCTGTGTGTCTTGCCTGTCTTTTTGTTTAAAGGTTATGTTGTGGTTTATGGAAGAGTCGGTGAAAAAAGCTGATTTTCTTTTTTATTTGTTTCTTCAGTTATCTAGTCAGAATGAAGTCATCACAAGAGTTGTGCAGAGACTCTGTGAAAAAGGAAAGAAGAATGTCCTTGCATATGGATACTCCTTACTGGATGAAAATAGTTCTCATTTCCAAATCATGCCATTATCAAATATATACAGCTACCTGCCCAATACTGCCACAGAAACTCTTCGTATCAGCGGCCTCTGGGAAACACTGTTGAGCAGGATAGGGGATGATGTGATGATGTATTTATTAGAACACTGTGCAATCTTTATGCTGGTTCCCCCTAGTAATTGTTACCAAGTTTGTGGGCAACCAGTTTATGAACTTATCTCACAAAATGTAGACTCATTCCCAGTATTTGTTAAACAAAGATTCTCAAAGCATAAGTGTAATAGCTTGCTTGACTATGTGCAGAAAAGACTTAGTTTTCATAGACAGTATCTTTCAAAGTCACATAGGTGGCAATGCAGACAAAGACTTGAAGATAATGTCTCCAGCATGGGAATTAAAAAAAATAGCAAGATGCGAAGCTTAGTATCCAATTACCAGTATTCTGCAAAAGCTGTTTCTAAAGCAAGCAAACAGACCAGGGTGGTCACTGAACATCTGGGAAAAACAAATAGCTACAGTTTATGTTTGTCATCTACAGCACCATCTCTAAAAAGGAAGCTTCACAGGGAACAGCTTGAAATTCCAGCTAAGAGAGCAAAAGTAGAGGAGAAAGTGAGAGACGAAAAGGCTTGTAATCTTACTTCTCATGTAAACCAAAGTAGTTCCAAGAGAGATGAAACTGGGTATGTAGCCTCACGTCCTGAAAGCCTCATTAAAAATAACCACATTTCTCAAAGAAGTAACAGTGCTGGGCCTTCTTTAGTTCACACATCTCATGACAGGAAGAAGTTTGTTACAGGTGGAAGCTCTCTTCTGCAAGGAGTTCAGAGTAACAAACCTTTGAAGTCCAGCATTGAAATGCAAGCAGAATCCCGTAGGAAAGGAGTAGAGATGCATATGTGTGAATCTCAGGTGAATTCTGTACAAATCAAGCCCGTGGAGGGTAATTCTTCAAAATGCAGAAGGCGGGAAAGTCCCCTACATAATTTGGCAAAGAAGTTACCGAATAGACTCCTGCGTTCTGCTGTATACATTGACAGGAAGTCTCTTCTGTATTCTCGCAGGAGTTTCCAAGAATGTTTTCCTAAATCATTTTTACTGAATCGTTTGCAGGGCTGTCAGGCAGGTGGAAGAAGGCTTATAGAAACTATATTCTTAAGCCAAAATCTGTTGGAGCAAAGGCGTAACCAAAGTCTGCCACATCACAGCTGGAGAAAGAAGAGGTTGCCCAAACGCTACTGGCAAATGAGACATATATTTCAGAAACTGTTAAAGAACCATGGAAAGTGTCCTTACTTAGATCTCTTGAAAAAAAATTGCCCCATTTGGATATCTGAAAGTGGGAGAAAAACCAATGTGCCTCATCAGGCAGAGGTTCATGAGCAAGCAGAACAGTTTGGGAAGGAGCCTACTAAATGTGTGACAAGCATCAGATGTGAATCTGGTCACACTGTTGTATCAGGCAACTTACGTGCCCCTCTTGCAAAATCTGTGTGTGGAGAGTTGCAGAGTGAGGAGCAAAACCCAGGAGAGGTGTGTGATTCAGCCCTCAGGGAGCTCCTCAAGCAGCACAGCAGCCACTGGCAGGTGTACATGTTTGTGAGGGAATGCATGGAGCAGGTTATCCCTGCTGAGCTTTGGGGTTCAAACCATAACAAGTGCCGGTTCCTAAAAAATGTGAAAGCATTCATTTCCAGGGGGAAGTTTGCTAAGCTTTCATTGCAGGAGTTGATGTGGAAGATGAGAGTGAATGACTGCATGTGGCTTCGTCTAGGCAAAGGTACTTCTTATAGTAAAGAACTAAGTGGCGGGGCTGTCACATGACTGGTGTTAGTGTTTAAGGTGGGAAGGGGAGGATATTGAATCTGGAGTCAGAATTGCTGAGTTCATTGATAATAACCATTGCTGAGAGCAAACCTAATAATGTTTGTAACCAATGGTGGAAGCACGCTTAAGCCTGTTTTCCTTCCAAAACTTGTTTGCATTCATGCTTTTTGTGTTTAATAGAATGATGTCTTCATAAACATGAATTCAG